ATCACCTGTTACCTTTTTTGTGTATGTGGTAAGAATACTTAAGATCTCCTCTACAGATTTCAAGTATACAATGTATACTATTAACTGTAGTCACCATGCTCTACAGTAGATCTCCAGAACTTAGTCATAACTGAAAGTTTGTACGATTTGACCAAAATCTTACCATTTCCTCTTTTCCCCAGCCCCAGTAGCCACCATTCTTTTCTGTTTCTGAGTTTTTTAGATTCCACATGTAAGTGAGATAATGCAGTGTTTCTTTTCTCTTTCTGTGTCTGGCTTATTTAATTTAACATAATGTCCCCCATGTTGTCAGAAATGGCAGAATTTCTCTTTTTAAGGCTAAATATTCATTGTGTGTGTGTGTGTCACATTGTATTTATCCATCCACTGACAAGACACAAGTTCCATTTATCTTGGCTCTTGTGGATGAGTACAGATACATCCCTTTAAGGTACATTATTTCATTTCCTTGGGAAATATTCCCAGAAGTGGGATTGCTGGGTCCTATAGTAGTTCTCATTTTAATTCTCTGGGCCATCTCTGTACTGCTTTATTATAGTGGCTGCACCAGTTTACTTTCCCACCAACAGTGCACAGGGGTTCCCTGTTCTCTGCATCCTCCCCAAGACTTTGGACTTCTCAGTAATGGCCATTTGATTCTATTAAGTATGAGGTGATACTCCATTGTTCCCATTTCCAGATGATTTATGTGGTGTTGAGCACTTTTTCATATTCCTGTTGGCCATTGGTATGTCTTTGGAAGAATGTCTATTCAGGTCCTTTGCCTCTTTAAGTTGGGGTATTACCTCTTTGGTATTGCCTTCCATATATTTTTTGGATACTAATCCTTTATCAGATACATGGTTTGCAGATACGCTTTCTCCCATTCCTTTGGTTGCCTTTTAATTTTGTTCCTTTACTCTACAGAGGGAACTTGGATGTAGTTCCATCTGCTCAGTTTTGCTTTTGTTGCCTGTATTTTGGGTGTCAAAATACAAAAATTATCACCAAGACCAGTCTTGAGCATTTGTCCTAAGTTTTCTTCTAGGAGTTCTATGATTTCAGATCTTACAGTCTTTAATCCATTTTGAATTGAGTTTTGTATATGATGTAAGGGAAAAGTCCAGCTTCATTTTTATGTGTGGATATCCAGTTTTCCCAGCACCATTTATTGACAAAACTGTTCTTTCCTCATGGCATATTCTTGGCACCTTTGCTAAGATTAGTTGACTGTGAGATTCAGGATTTGAATTAAGAAGGGTGACTTGCATGGATGTTTATTTCTTGTGAGACTACAAGGCTTTGTAGAGTATGAGGAGGAATTGAAACCATTAAACATCATTGAAATCTTAAATATTTTTTTAAAATGAGAGGAGTTTTTTGGAGTGTTCTACTTTATAGTTTTAAAATGTCTTAACATAAAACATAGCCCATCCTTCCCACCCCAACCAAGTTACTTAAGTAAAGTTAATGTTTCCGGAGGATATGCCATAACTTCTGAAGTGCCTGTTCTGGACTGCACCAACCAGATCATCAGGATGGTGTTGGAAAGGCTGGGTTGGAGAGCAGATCCATTTGAGGGGCAGGGTGAACTTGGGCTCGAGCTCATTGGGGGCCGTGGGAGCTAGGGCACAGGGCAGGGAGTGGGACCTCAGCTGGAATTTGTTCCTCTCCTAGACTCTTACCTGGGAATTCTCCCTAGTTCATCCATTTTAACTGGGTCACCTCATCTCTGGCTGCAGTGACACCTGAACCTGACCCCTTTCTGAACCCATTGGGTGTGGCTTGCTGCTCGCTTAGCATCATGTGAATGTTCATTGGCACCTCAAATGACATGTGCAGAATTGAATTCATTTCCCTAAACCTGCTCCTAAGCCATCCTCTAGCTGGCTGTTAACTACTCACCACATTCTATGGGTACCCAAATTTGCCCCTCCTTACTGCATCTCTAATCTGTTCCACTTCTCTCTGGCCTCATTGCCACTCTTAAGTAATTATTTGTAGTTACTGTATGGCCTCATCCCCTCTGATCCACTCTTTCTGAAGTAATTGTTCAAAAACGTCACATCCTACCCTTGTGTGGCATCCAAGGCCCTTAACAATCTGACCCGATTAACTCTCCAAGGAATTAACTCATTCCTCAAATGTCCTCCTCTCCAGCAACTTCCCCTGTAAGTGCCTGTAAGAGTCTATCCAACTAGTGCCTCAGGGCTTTTGCACCAACGCGCCCTCTGCCATGGGCCAGGCACTAAGCTAATCAAGTAATGCCTGTTGGAGGAAGTAGTCCATGCCTTCACTGATTTTACATTCTGGTTGAGAGAGAATTATGAAGCCTTCCCAGATCCAGGCTTAACTGTCCCTTGTTAAGGAGATTCTAGAGAATGCTGGTATGTTCTAAGCAAGATCTGTAATTTCTTGGTAATCTGTCCTTCTATCCTAGTAGACAATGCCTAAGGTCATTTTACTGATCATTGGGTCACCAGCATAAAGCATAAATAGCTAAATGCTTAGTAAATAGTGGATGAATGGAAATCCAAATGGGCAGAAGTAGACTAGGGATTTTTGCAATGAAATTAATATAAAAGATACTTGGACATACATGCAGGGTAACTAGAAGGAACAAGTATGTGATTGTGAGGAGTGCTAAGATCTATTTAAAAAGCTATAAAGTTACTGGATTATTAAGAATATTTAAAGTTGGAAAAGGAACATGTACCTTCAGTTTTCCTATTTCTTGACAGCCTCTTAGTTTAACAGATGTCAAAAATTTTTTTAAAACAGCAAACCTACATTGAAGAAGCGTTTATAGGTTAAAAAAAGAGTCATTCTGACCTATTCATGGTTTTCTTGAAAGCTTGTCAAATGGGTGAATTTTGTGCAGTTAGTGTTTTAGGCTGCTGTTCTGTGGAGCAGTCTATACTCTGCTTTTCCCAGGCCCTTTGAAAGGACAGAACTGTTTTTGCCTTTCCCTTGAGCAGAATGAACTTTATATAGCAGTACAGGGTTGTACCTTTTACAGATTTTTGAAAGGTTGGAATTTAACCTTCACAGATGAGTGTCCTTTTTAAATTCATTTTGTATTTCAGAAAAAGATCCTATCTAAAATGACCATGCTCTCACTAAATGCTTAGTGCCAAAAGACAAGACTTAACAAATGTTCTCTAACTTTCTAGGTATTAAGCTTTCAGCAAGCTCAATTTAAATCACATTATGAATTGCAATAATATTGGAGTGACTATAGTCTCAAAAATAGATAATCATGGTTTGAGTTCTGGCTCTGTCACATATGGCTGCCTAACCTTGGATAATTTAATTACTTGGTACTTGAATACTTAAAAATGCTTTCTAAACCTTGTTTCCTAATCAGTAAAATGGGGAAAAAATGAAATAATAGATCACACTCATTTGCTTATTTGCTTTCTTCTTTGCTAGACCATGAGTTTTTTTGACACAAATGCTAGATCTTTTCCTTTGGATCCTGAATATTTATTCTGGCATGTCAATAGGAGATAGTAAATATTTATTTAACTAAGATTCAGGAGACACAGTGTTGTTAATTTGACCTGAACTAAAATAATCTAGTACCTGATAATACCAGGAATATTTTTTTCTTTCTGTGCTAGGCCTACACTGATTCTTTTAATAAAAAAGGGGAGTTTCAGGATAGAATGAGAAGTTAGCCAAAAGGTTTTTACTACCCCCTTTATTTTATTTTATTTTTTTGAGAGGGCATCTCTCATATTTATTGATCAAATGGTCGTTAACAACAATAAAATTCTGTATAGAGGACTCAATGCACAATCATTAATCAACCCCAAGCCTATATCTCAACAGTCTCCAAGCTTCTGAAGCATAACAAACAAGTTCTTACATGGTGAACAAGTTCTTACATAGTGAATAAGTTCTTACATGGTGAACAGTGCAAGGGCAGTCATATCAAAGAAACTTTTGGTTTTGATCACGCATCATGAACTATAAACAATCAAGTCAGATATGATTATTTGTTTGATTTTTATACTTGATTTATATGTGAATCCCACATTTCTCCCTTATTATTATTTTTTTAAATAAAATGCTGAAGTACTACCCCTTTATTTTTCATCAAACAAAAACCATGCAACATGGAGATATTTCTGTTAATGCTTTCAGCCCTGCTAAACTTGAGATTTCTTTGTAATTGCTCTTGGATCCAAAGATTCCTTGAGAGTAGACTTGGTACTTACCTGAGGCTCGCACCAAACTTCAATGGAGTGGAGGGAGGTGGAAAGGGAGGTTTCTGATGCTTAATTTCCTTGTGGAGGAATTCTTGGCCCATAGTCCTTTTATTTTATTTGGGCCTGTGAGTTTATATTCTGTGATACTCCAATAAAATACAAATGGCCAACCAACATTCTTTCTAAATAAAAGATGGACTTTCAGTGGATAATTTGCATAATTGTTCGTTCTGCAAAAGGGCATACAGATCCTGCTGAACTTAAGAAAGATAGGCAGTATTATTCCACCTGTTTCCTATGGAAAAGGAAAAATTCCATGTGAAGCCTCTAGAAAATATGGTTAACTGTTGGGAGATGTGGAGCATGGAACCCAGTCAACAGTGGGGCTTGTTGGGGGGGGGGTGTCAGCTCCACTGACTCCTTGTCTTAGGGGCACTGGAGGCCTCTTGCTGACTAGACAGCACATACTCCTTCAGGATACGCTGATGTCCTGTCTACATCTACATCTCACATTCATATCTCCAGAAGGGGGTTCTAGAGTGTCCCTGTATTGGAGAGAGGCACAAACACCTTGGAAGCTTTGACCTCTTGTGTCACCTCATCCAAAGTGGCCTTGAGCTTGGTCAGGTCAGTGCTCCTGGGCTTGCAGGGTTGGTTTTTATCGAGCACTTGGGCAAAAAAGATCTGCCTAAAGCTACTCTCCAAAAGGAGGTTATCTGCTAGGAGGAGGTTTAAAGCTCCTGGATTCCTTTTCAAGGCTGACATCATTCCTCTATTCCCTTTTAGAGAGATTCAAAATATTCTGGATTCCTAAGGTTTTCCTTCAGAGGAATAATAGTAGCTGGTAAGTGATGCCTTCTGTTAGAATTCTAGCCTGATCACACAAGTCTTTGACACTGATTTTAAAATCCATCAGTAATCAAGTGTTCCCTTATTTTAGCTTATTTTACACTCTTTAAATGCTGTGTTGTAATATAGGGAGATATATAAAACTGCATTGTGTAATATTTTTACAGCTTGATGTGTTTTATCAATGAACTCTTAAAAATGATGAGGAAGGTCAGACGATAACAGGACACTGAGGCATAGAACTGTTAAGGGACTTGTTAGGAGTCACCAAATTAGTGATTAAAATGGCTTCAAGTTCATCCTCCTGTTTTGTACCCAAGCCATTTTACCATAGGTCAGTGCTACATTACAAACTTTGGGGAAGAGAAGCTGATGAATATCCTCTTAACAGGATGCATGTTTAAGACTTACTTGGTGGTTTCCTCTGGTAGGAGGTAAGGGCTAGGACAGCCATCCTTTTTTTTACTATCTTTGTTCATTGCTCTATCCCCAGTTACTATGATGGTGTCTCGTACAAGATGAGCAGCTCAACAGAAGCTAAATAAATGAATTAAGAAACAGGTCCCATAAAAAATTGTAGTTCCACAAAAATTGTTACGAGTAACACCTGTCAGATTGCCTCATCTCAAAAAAAAAAGTTTCCTGGGTGCTAACCAACATGAAACACTTACAGTAAGGGTTATTGCTCCTCAAATACATTTTACTCTACCCTCTCCCAAAGCAAAGATAAACAACTTACTCCTCAGAGTGACTTCAGATATGTGTAAAGGTGATTCCAGGAAACACTTAAGCCACCCTTGCATCAGCGCTAAAGCAACAGCATACCTGGAAGGCTCCCATCATAATTAATCATTTACTCCCCTGTTTAATATATGATGTGAAATATTTTAGTTCACTTCATACTGAAAAGCATTTGACATACAGTTAAAGGAATAAGCTCTCATCAAGCCATGAAAAAGCATCTCGCCTAACCAATTTTCAGAAGGGTCTGGGTCGAGGTTAATGATAATACCCTTCATATATGAAGCTATTGCATCTGACTTGCTACTCCAGAGATGTACACGAATTTTTTGAAAATGGGTTTGTCAACCACAGACTTGTTTCAAGCATCAGTCAATTTGGTCAGGTTTTGTGCTCTTGTGTGTCAACCGTGTAACAGAAGCAAAGTAACAGGTGTTATCACCTGCAATTTCCCTTTTGTTTCATATGTATATATATATATATGTATACACCTCATCTGAGAATAATTTAAAGCTATCAGCTGGACCACATGGGAATTCAGTTTCCATTGCATGTAGGTCTTGTGACACCTCACCTGAGTTACTGGACACTGGACCAGGCTTTTTTTGAGAAACAAATACAAGTAAGGTAACTTCTCCCGTGAAGTTTCAAGCTGCCATTGGCAAAGTGCACATATCTGGGCCTGGCTGCTCAGGGCAGTCATTTGTAAGGTAGAGGAGGACGCTGGCAAGGTAAAGTCAGTGGGGAGACGGAGGGGACGGCTGGCCTGGTGCTCTGCGCACTCCCCTTAAAGCTGGGGCTGAGGGTAGCCTGCGAGGGGACACGTTCTGAGCGTAGCGCAGCCCCAGGAGGGTCGGGACGCGTGGAGGCAGAGGCGGAGGAGTGCCCTGGCGCCATCTGGCGGTGGCTCGAGGCTGGTCCGCGTGAGCCGCGCTCTGCCAGCCCGCGCCTGGAGCAAACCGTCTGGCACCCCGGCCCGAACGGCGATTCCGGAAAGCGTAGCGATCGCTAATACCAAATTAAAATTCTTAAACGTTTATTTCTTTAGGGGTAAAAAGTCCGTTCTGGAAAATGTGCCAGGATGACATTCTGTCAAGTCTTGTTTCAGGTCTCCATAAATTAAAATTCTATACGGGAACATGTCGAATGAGAGAATGTACATACAGCTGAAAGGACTGCTGACTTGTCAAAGAAGTGGCATCATTCTAGGCCAATCTACAGAGCGCTTGAAAGCAACACATGAATCTTTTATATTAAAGGCAAAGAATAAAATGCACCGGGTTTCTTTTAACTGCTTAACTTACTGTGTTATAATGAGTTGTAAGAAATACATATTTGGTCATTCATATGACCAAATATATATTTCCCTGGTGTAACTTCATCCACAGTTACTGAAAACCTGCAGTCTTAAAGAAAGACTTACGGAACCCCACTAGGGGCCGGGGCTGGAGGCTGAATCAGCCAATGGCCAATAATTTAGTCAATCATGACTATGCAATGAAGCCCTCCCAAAACCCTTGAGAAGAGCTGACCCTCTCTGCTTGCTTTGCCTCCTGTGCTCCAGTTGGATCCTGCTTCTTGGTGGGAGAGAGCTTCTATCCTTGGGGGAACCAGATCGCCTCCATGTGCCACCGAGCCAGGCCCCACGCTCCATGAGGGTAGAAGCTCCTTTATTTGGGACCTTGCCCTATGTCTATCTTCATCTGGCTGTTGCTTGTAACCTTTACGGAATCCTTTATTAAACTGGTAAACTTGTGTTTTCCTGAGTCCTATGAGCCGCCCTAGCGAATTAATCAAACCTAAGGGGGAGGTCATGGGAACCCCCAGTCTGTAGCCAGTAGGTCAGAAGCCCAGGAAACTAACTGCCTGAGACTTGAGACAGGCGTCTGGAGTGGGCGTGGAGGGCAGTCTTGTAGAATGGGAGCCCTTAACCTGGAAATCTGGTGCTATCTCCAGACAGCATCAGAATTGGGTTGAGTTCTCAGACACCCTGCTGGTGTTTGAGAATTGCTTGGTGTTAAGTATGTCTGGGAAGAACCCCCTCCCACATACTTAACACACATTGGAATCTAGTCCGGGAACCCAAACAGAGTTATACTACAATTACTGATCTGTATAATGTTGTTATACATATATGTTGAGAAAAAATACACGGTTCCATTTGGTGTCAGATAAGTGAGAATCACACTTCCCGGTTCTGTACAATCACTGCAAAAACAGAGGGGCAGCAATAGTGTGGCATGAACACCATTTTCAGAATCAGAGGCCTGGGGCTGGAGCCCCACACTGACCACTTACGAGGGAGCTTAGCTTTGAGGCTTAGTTTCCTCATTTCTGAAGAGGAGGCTGGCATCTTCTCAGAAGGAGAATTAAACTCCAGCCACACTTCTGTTCACTAGATCTGTTCCCACAGCCATTGCCTTCCTCCCCATTTCCATGAACTGCCCTCTACCAGCCACCCCTCCTCCTGTCCCCTTCCCACCAGTCCTGGACCTTGCTCCAGCCACTCTCATCATCAGCTTCCCCTCTACTGGATATATCCATCAGCATGCAGACTGCTACCCTGCAGCATCCCTTCTCTTCTTACTTTTATATTGTAGCAGAGCACTTGTAAAGAGTCATCTGTGCTTGCTGGGTCCACTTCCATTCTTTCAGGCTTTGGTCTTGGCTCATCCACAGGCTGCTTTTGCCACTGCAACTAATGACCATCCCAGTGCTGAATTCTGGACTCTGTGTTCAATCTTTATCTTCTGAGGCTGATGAGCAGTATTTGACATGATTGTTCCCTTCTGGAAACCGATTGTCGTGGCTTCAGGACACTCCACTCTAGAGTCTTCTGTCAAGCTGGCTGCTCTTCCTGTTTCCAGAGCCCTGTCTGTGCAAGTCTTTTCTAGCTATGCTCACTCCTTAGTGATCCTATCCAGTCCCTAAGCTTAAAATACTGCCTGTCTATTCTGATGATGCCAGAAAAGCATACCTAGCTGGTACTTCACCCCTGAACTCCAGACTTGTGTAGGCAGCTTTCTACTTGACATCTCTACATGCATGTCTCAAAGACCTCCCAAACCTGACCTGTCCAAATTAAATTTTGAATCTCCCCCTTCAGACCTAACTCTCTGGGCTTGTCTCCATCCTAGCTGATGGTTAGTTCAGCCTTTCAGATTTTCAGGCCAAAGTACCGGTGTCACCCTTGACTCCTCTTTCCCTGTCACGCCTCCCATCCAGCTGTCAAGGACCTTGCTGGGTCTCCCTATGTTATATATTTAGAACCCTGTCATTTCTCCCCATCACTCTCTTCTTACTTAGTTTTTCTTTAGAGCCCATATGACAGACTTCATATTTTGTTCTTATTTATTGAATGCCCATCTCCACAAAAAATATAAGCTCTGTGGGAGCTGGATCACCCCATCCCCTGTTTTGTTCATTGCTGTATCCCTGGGGCTTTGAACCGTGTCATAACTGGTGCTCAATAAATTTGGCAAATGAATGAAAGATGCAATTGGTGAATGTCTGGTATTTAATAAATGGATAAATGGTAGCTACTGTTTTACATGGTCCTTCTTAGGTATCTAATTTGAATAGGAAACTCAAAGAAAAATCACAGTCACACCCAGAAAGTGGGGTGTTGTACCAGACTGGTTCATTTCAACTAGTCAGTATCTTAAAAAGGGATTAAGAGCGGGAAGGGACCATCTTGGGTGATAAGAAAAGTGAGATAGAACACGTATTTGAGCCAAACAGCTTTAAAAGGCATTTTTGTAATATATGAATTGCATTAGCTGTTTTAATACACAATTGTGCTTATGTATTACAATAACCATTTTATTTATATATGAATATATATGTATATATAAAATTTAACTCTTAGGGGTGAAATATCACAATGTCTATTATTGACTTTAACACACTTCAGCAAGAAAGAAATACATGAAGCCAAGTAGGCAAAGCAGTTGTGAAGTTGAAACAAGACATACACCTATGCTTTGGTTTGCTTTAAAAGCTGTTTGTTATACCCTTCTTTCTACTCTGTTTGAAAACTTTAGTAATAAAAAAGTAACAGAAAATATGTATGAGCTTTTTTGGGAAACGAACTGCAGGGGGGATTGTTAACACTGCCCTGGACCCAGCCGGAGAACAGGACTGCCTGGGGACCCTGCAGCTCCTGGTTGAAGCTCACCCCATAGGCTGGGCAAAGAAGCATTGTGGCAGCTTGGCGGCATGGGGCTGCCTCCACAAGGCTCTTGCAGTGGCTTCTTAAAGAAGGGTTGCCCTGAAATGCCAGCTTTGCCTCTGAGAAGGGCACCTCATGCAGGCAGGTCACTTGTTCTAGCAAAAAGGCCTCTGGTGCTGGGCCAACTCTGGAAGAGGGAGTGTCTCCTCACACCATTCCTCTTGGTTTCTAGTAGTGCAGATATATGGCTTTTGGACTTGGAAGGGGAAAAAAAAATCCTTAAATCTAAGTCAAAAGCCTGCTGAAACCACCGTCCAGAGTTCACCAGAAGAGAACTAGTAACCCTCCATGTGGCTTGAACAGGGTAATCTGAGATGGTCTGGGGTTTTGTGTGACTGACATGTTTGAAAGTGCTCCTGAATGGTGGTTTTTCCCCTGTCTTTGAAGTAAATATTAGGAACAGTAATTATATTTTACCATTATCTCTACATCATGGGATTTGAGTGATATATTTTTTCTTATACTTTCCTGTCTTTTTCAAAATTTGTGCCATCACTGCATGTTATTTTACAGTGAAAGGAAAGTATGGCTTTTTGTGTCTACCTACTGTATCAGTTGGGGCACTTTCTGCTGTGGCTCCTAATGAATACAGATTGAAATGAGACAAAGGGAGCTGAGTTGCTGCGCAGGCAGAGCAGGCAGGCTGCAGGTACAGCTGGGCCGGGCTTCCTGTGTTGCCCCTGGACCTGTGTTCCTTCTCCCATCCTGCATGTCTCTCTCTAGAATGGGCTCCATTTTCAGGCAGATGGTCACAGTACAGCTTTAGGGGCTTTTAGGTTTGCGTCTTTCCAACTTCAGGTCTCATGGAAATAATTTCTACCCCATGATTCTGGCAAAATGTTCTTTGTATCTCATTGGTTCATAAACCCACCTGAAAACCAACACTGCAGCAAGGGAAGTAGGGGAGTGATCAGCTCGGGTCTAGGTTACATGCCTCACCCCTGAGATGGAGTGAGGACCCTCTCCCCAAACCACATGGGCTAGGAGTAGGGAAAGATAGTTGCCTAGAGAGAATTTACTGTCCAGTTAACAAAAGGGGGAAAAGATGAGGAATAGCCAGAAAATCACAAATGCTGTCTTCCTGCCTACTCCTAGAAAGGATTTGAATAATGCAGGGAGGAGAAAGCTGAAGCCAAGGAAAGCTGCTCTGACTGAATCCCAAATTTAGCTTTGAGCTTCCTGTTAGCCAAGGCAGAAGGGAAAGAGTTGTTCACATAACACCAACTCATCAGGATTAAAGAGTTCAACAAACTCTGTTAAAACTTTCCTAAGATTCCACAGCTCAGCTTAAGCTGTCTTCTGTGTCTCTCTCCATCTCCAACATTTCTTACTGTTTCACTTTTTGTCTTTCTTGGACCATCTTCTGTCTCTGTCTAGAGCCAACATACGGTCGCACACTTTTCTTCACAGTTGAATGGGAAACTATCAGAACATCCAGGGGCTTGGACTTGCGCTGTGGTAACATTATATACTCCTGGAGGGAGGGAGGAGATTAGCCTTAAAACTAAAGGCTAAAAGCCCACTGCCATGGGAGCATCAGCCAAAACAAAGCGTTGGGAGAACTGGAGTTTCCTTCTGCTTCTCTTTTAGAGTAGTTCACCACCCTGGACTCTTCTTGAAGAAGGAATGAATCAGATCAGATGGTGACTCCGCGGAAAACGCATTCCGCAGTGAGAAAGAAGAGTTCTCCCTAAGACCCGATTCTCAATGTCTTTTGCATCAAAAAGATTTTCAGAGTTTTCTCTTCCCAGACCACATAGTTTCTCATAGATCCTGAGCGTTTCACACTCAAAATAATTTTTTCGGTGTTGACAACCGGAGGAAGCACATTTGTTGCGGGCAGGAGTGGCGCTGGCCCACGTGGCTCCCTGCTCTCCCGGCTGATTCGCTGACGCCCCCAACCCTGCGGTGCAGATGTGGAGGAGGAGCTGGCCTGGGAGCCCGTGCTCGGCCCTGCATGAACGGAGCCTTACTGATAAATATCGTTTTGCTTTGGAAAAAGAAAATGTTGGTCGGGTGACCCCTTCTCCTCCACCCCTAGGTTTCAAGTTTACAAGGTAGCTGCAGTGGACTGTTGCTTCCCCAAAATTGGGAAAGAAGGGCACCTTTGGCCATATTCCTGGTCAGGATATGTTCATTCTCAGATCTGCCCTCTTTGTACCTTTTTAATTGTCAGCATTTAATTTTCCTGGACAAGCCAAATAAGAGAATAATTTGACTGTGGAAAGAGAACAGTTGTAACCTTTTCTGTATAATATTGTCAGTCTCTCTTTTGTGTTATTCTTATAGTTGGGATTTTAGTATTTTTGGAGTTATGTGATCTACTGGTATGTGTTCATTTTACCTCACAGAATATATGTAAGTGGGCAAAAGCCACCTCCATCTCCAAGGTAAGAACCATTGTTCAGAACTGGTCTTAATTATTTCAGTCTTTTGTTGGGGAATAGGATATGACCTAGTAAGAATATGCCAAGGCTGTCATTATATAAAACTGACATCCCTCTTTCTCACATATTCTGTTNACCTAGTAAGAATATGCCAAGGCTGTCATTATATAAAACTGACATCCCTACTATAAAAAACTTTTTTTCAGCTGCTTTTTCCCTCCATTTTCTTCCCTTTGGACTTACAAAACAGAAACCCCAGTAGGCCACTACTCACGTTATAGAGTTAAAGCCTTATTTTATTTCATGTTATTACTACTTTTAGAAGCCTTTTTTTTTCCTTTTTTTTTTTTTTTGTTAAGGTTTCACATGAAAAACATTGTGGTTACTACATTCACCCATATTATTTAGAAGCCTTATTTTAAAAACTGGATTACAGAAGTAGAGTGTATCTCATTTAATGAAACTTGTTTCTTTCCCCCAGTAGTTTGTGTGAGTCTCTTGCAAATGGACTAATTTTGCTTTACACAAAAGGTGCTTTATTATGCTGACAATGTATATAAACACAGATTCAAGGTTTTTTTTTTTCCTGAGGATAGTTTTCTAAAAACACTAGCATGGAAGAATAATGCATAATGGCAGTACTGTTTTCAGTTTTATGGTGAAAGAGAATAAGAATAATTTAGCAGCTAAAGCTAGTTTGTGCTTTCCCTTAGCAAGTGGTCATTTATGAAACTGCTAAGTGTGGGATTACATCCAGGACTTTCCTTCAGTAGAGAAGCTGTAACAATTACACTGAACTCAGGGGAGTTCTGTGAAACAAGCAGATGTTTCTACTGGATGACAGAAACAAACATGACTCCAATTAGTGAATTTGCAGAGTTATTTCCTATCTGTGATTTTAGCTCTGTTCAGCCAAGAGAGTAAAATGTCTCCCTTTGTCTTATCACTTACTCATCTCCAATTAAATTACTTACAATCAATTCACAGGCCTTTAGACATGAGCAGCTAATTTGTAAACACTGACGAAAATTCTTCAAACAGCTTATGTAAGCCCTGTGGGTTAGGATGTGTCTCAGTTTAGCCTGTAACCATTCCCGTGGGGCATACTTCCTACATTGGCTTCTGGTGGGTGCACATGGGTAAAACTCACTGATCAATGTAAACTTTGGATTTCTTTGGGAGGAAACAGGTCTTTGGTCTAGCACTGTGCACTCATTACAGGTCTCCTAGGATAGGACAAGACTGAGAAAGAGATATAGAGACGGATACAGATTCTCGTGCAAGATCATGCCCATTCAGGACCAAAAGCCCAAGATTGTGTGGGATGATTGATTTTATTTTGGATGAGATTAGCATTTAAATTGGTGAACTTTGAGTAAAGCAGATTGCCCTCCCTAATGTGGGTGGGCCTCATCAATCAGTTGAAGGCCTGAATAGAACAAAAAGACCTGACTCCCTAAGCAAGAGAGGATTTCCAGCAGATGGCCTTTGGACTTTATTTGTATTATCAGCTCTCCCAGATCTCCAGGCTGTCAGCCCACACTGCAGATTTTGGACTTGTCAGCCTCCCTAATTGTGTGAACCAATTCCTTATAATAAATCTCTTTCTCACATATTCTGTTCAGTGTTGTTTCTCAGGAGAACCTGTATTAATACAGGAGAACCTGTGTTAATACAGCGTGTCCCACTGAGACTGGCTCATTTGTGCAAGACTGCTGACTTTAAGTCAAGGAGACCTTACAGCTGAACTGCTACGATTTTCTTGAAACACTTCTAACCAAATACACACATTTTGGTGTGCTTGGGTGCCATCTAGTGTCAAATTTAGGTACTGCAAAGTTCCAGCCTTCCCACCTAATGTTTCCATCACTGTCATTCTCGATTTAATTCTCTAAGCATGTATTAGTAGAACTCGTATTCATGTAGATCATTCACTCTGTTATTCAGTCAACAACATTTAGTGAGGACTTGCTTGTGCACAAGTATTATAGCAGATAAAAAGCTGCCCAGGAGTGGTCTCTCCCCTTTACTGAGCTCACAGTCCAGCTGCAGACATGGAATAAAAGCAGATGATTATAGGCACATGTGCTCAGGGCCGAGAGACAACTGTGAATGAAGAGCTGAGGCGTGAACAGTGGGGACTGAGGGTGAGCTGCTAGTTGATGGAATGTTTACTGTGAACCAGGCACAGTGTTGGATCTGGACATAAAGGGGTCATGGCCGCTTCCCTCCAGCAGCTTTAGGTCTTCTGGGCCCATTCTCTTCCCTGGCTTGTTCCCTTCACCATGGGTGTGTCCTATAGTGAGCACAGATGCACTGGCCTATAGCACAAGCTTAGGTCTTAATGACATTGTCTAATCCAATTTCCTTACTTTACACCCG